CATATTACACTGGTATTAGACCTATAATACACTGGTATTAGACCCATATTACACTGGTATTAGACCCATGTTACACTGGTATTAGACCTATAATACACTGGTATTAGACCCATGTTACACTGGTATTAGACCCATGTTACACTGGTATTAGACCTATAATACACTGGTATTAGACCCATGTTACACTGGTATTAGACCTATAATACACTGGTATTAGACCCATGTTACACTGGTATTAGACCTATAATACACTGGTATTAGACCCATATTACACTGGTATTAGACCTATAATACACTGGTATTAGACCCATATTACACTGGTATTAGACCCATGTTACACTGGTATTAGACCCATGTTACACTGGTATTAGACCCATGTTACACTGGTATTAGACCTATAATACACTGGTATTAGACCCATGTTACACTGGTATTAGGCCCATATACACTGGTATTAGACCCATATTACACTGGTATTAGACCCATAATACACTGGTATTAGACCCATGATACACTGGTATTAGACCTATATTACACTGGTATTAGACCCCATGTTACACTGGTATTAGACCCATATTACACTGGTATTAGACCCATATTACACTGGTATTAGACCTATATTACACTGGTATTAGACCCATATTACACTGGTATTAGACCCATATTACACTGGTATTAGACCCATATTACACTGGTATTAGACCTATAATACACTGGTATTAGACCTATAATACACTGGTATTAGACCCATATTACACTGGTATTAGACCCATATTACACTGGTATTAGACCCATGTTACACTGGTATTAGACCCATGTTACACTGGTATTAGACCCATGTTACACTGCTTTTACCTGGGTATTACCCCATTTTACACTGTTATTACCCCCATTTTACACTGTTATTACCCCCATAATACACTGTTATTAGACCCCATATTACACTGTTATTAGACCTATAATACACTGGTATTAGACCATAATACACTGGTATTAGACCCATATTTACACTGGTATTAGACCCATATTACACTGGTATTAGACCATATTACACTGGTATTAGACCCATATTACACTGGTATTAGACCCATATTACACTGGTATTAGACCTATAATACACTGGTATTAGACCCATAATACACTGGTATTAAACCCTATTACACTGGTATTAGACCCATGTTACACTGGTATTAGACCCATATTACACTGGTATTAGACCTATAATACACTGGTATTAGACCCATAATACACTGGTATTAGACCCATATTACACTGGTATTAGACCCATATTACACTGGTATTAGACCCATAATACACTGGTATTAGACCCATATTACACTGGTATTAGACCCATATTACACTGGTATTAGACCCATATTACACTGGTATTAGACCTATATTACACTGGTATTAGACCCATGTTACACTGGTATTAGACCCATATTACACTGGTATTAGACCCATATTACACTGGTATTAGACCCATAATACACTGGTATTAGACCTATATTACACTGGTATTAGACCCATGTTACACTGGTATTAGACCCATATTACACTGGTATTACACCCATATTACACTGGTATTAGACCCATATTACACTGGTATTAGACCCATAATACACTGGTATTAGACCCATGATACACTGGTATTAGACCCATATTACACTGGTATTAGACCCATATTACACTGGTATTAGACCCATATTACACTGGTATTAGACCCATGTTACACTGGTATTAGACCCATGTTACACTGGTATTAGACCCATATTACACTGGTATTAGACCCATATTACACTGGTATTAGACCTATATTACACTGGTATTAGACCCATATTACACTGGTATTAGACCCATATTACACTGGTATTAGACCCATATTACACTGGTATTAGACCCATAATACACTGGTATTAGACCCATAGTTACACTGGTATTAGACCCATGTTACACTGGTATTAGACCCATGTTACACTGGTATTAGACCCATATTACACTGGTATTAGACCCATAATACACTGGTATTAGACCCATGTTACACTGGTATTAGACCCATGTTACACTGGTATTAGACCCATGTTACACTGGTATTAGACCCATATTACACTGGTATTAGACCCATATTACACTGGTATTAGACCCATAATACACTGGTATTAGACCCATATTACACTGGTATTAGACCTATAATACACTGGTATTAGACCCATAATACACTGGTATTAGACCCATATTACACTGGTATTAGACCCATATTACACTGGTATTAGACCCATATTACACTGGTATTAGACCCATATTACACTGGTATTAGACCCATATTACACTGGTATTAGACCCATATTACACTGGTATTAGACCTATAATACACTGGTATTAGACCCATATTACACTGGTATTAGACCCATATTACACTGGTATTAGACCCATATTACACTGGTATTAGACCCATATTACACTGGTATTAGACCCATATTACACTGGTATTAGACCCATATTACACTGGTATTAGACCCATATTACACTGGTATTAGACCTATAATACACTGGTATTAGACCCATATTACACTGGTATTAGACCTATAATACACTGGTATTAGACCTATAATACACTGGTATTAAACCCATATTACACTGGTATTAGACCCATGTTACACTGGTATTAGACCCATATTACACTGGTATTAGACCTATAATACACTGGTATTAGACCCATAATACACTGGTATTAGACCCATATTACACTGGTATTAGACCCATATTACACTGGTATTAGACCCATGTTACACTGGTATTAGACCCATGTTACACTGGTATTAGACCCATGTTACACTGGTATTAGACCCATATTACACTGGTATTAGACCCATAATACACTGGTATTAGACCCATGTTACACTGGTATTAGACCCATGTTACACTGGTATTAGACCCATGTTACACTGGTATTAGACCCATATTACACTGGTATTAGACCCATATTACACTGGTATTAGACCCATATTACACTGGTATTAGACCCATGTTACACTGGTATTAGACCCATATTACACTGGTATTAGACCCATATTACACTGGTATTAGACCCACATTACACTGGTATTAGACCCACATTACACTGGTATTAGACCCACATTACACTGGTATTAGACCCACATTACACTGGTATTAGACCCATAATACACTGGTATTAGACCAATATTACACTGGTATTAGACCCATATTACACTGGTATTAGACCCATATTACACTGGTATTAGACCCATATTACACTGGTATTAGACCCATAATACACTGGTATTAGACCTATATTACACTGGTATTAGACCTATAATACACTGGTATTAGACCCATATTACACTGGTATTAGACCCATATTACACTGGTATTAGACCCATATTACACTGGTATTAGACCCATATTACACTGGTATTAGACCCATGATTAACACTGGTATTAGACCCATAATACACTGGTATTAGACCCATGTTACACTGGTATTAGAGCCCATATTACACTGGTATTAGACCTATAATACACTGGTATTAGACCCATATTACACTGGTATTAGGACCCATATTACACTGGTATTAGACCCATATTACACTGGTATTAGACCCATATTACACTGGTATTAGACCCATATTACACTGGTATTAGACCCATATTACACTGGTATTAGACCCATATTACACTGGTATTAGACCCATATTACACTGGTATTAGACCCATATTACACTGGTATTAGACCCATGTTACACTGGTATTAGACCATATTACACTGGTATTAGACCCATATTACACTGGTATTAGACCCATATTACACTGGTATTAGACCCATATTACACTGGTATTAGACCCATGTTACACTGGTATTAGACCCATATTACACTGGTATTAGACCCATGTTACACTGGTATTAGACCCATATTACACTGGTATTAGACCTATAATACACTGGTATTAGACCCATATTACACTGGTATTAGACCCATATTACACTGGTATTAGACCCATATTACACTGGTATTAGACCCATGTTACACTGGTATTAGACCCATATTACACTGGTATTAGACCCATATTACACTGGTATTAGACCCATATTACACTGGTATTAGACCCATATTACACTGGTATTAGACCCATATTACACAGGTATTAGACCCATGTTACACTGGTATTAGACCCATGTTACACTGGTATTAGACCCATGTTACACTGGTATTAGACCCATGTTACACTGGTATTAGACCCATGTTACACTGGTATTAGACCTATAATACACTGGTATTAGACCCATATTACACTGGTATTAGACCCATATTACACTGGTATTAGACCCATATTACACTGGTATTAGACCCATATTACACTGGTATTAGACCATATTACACTGGTATTAGACCCATATACACTGGTATTAGACCCATATTACACTGGTATTAGACCCATATTACACTGGTATTAGACCCATATTACACTGGTATTAGACCCATATTACACTGGTATTAGACCCATATTACACTGGTATTAGACCCATAATACACTGGTATTAGACCTATAATACACTGGTATTAGACCCATATTACACTGGTATTAGACCTATAATACACTGGTATTAGACCCATGTTACACTGGTATTAGACCTATAATACACTGGTATTAGACCCATATTACACTGGTATTAGACCCATATTACACTGGTATTAGACCCATGTTACACTGGTATTAGACCCATGTTACACTGGTATTAGACCCATGTTACACTGGTATTAGACCCATGTTACACTGGTATTAGACCCATGTTACACTGGTATTAGACCCATGTTACACTGGTATTAGACCCATGTTACACTGGTATTAGACCTATAATACACTGGTATTAGACCCATGTTACACTGGTATTAGACCCATGTTACACTGGTATTAGACCCATGTTACACGCATGTCAAACACATGTATAAATAAGATCATATAATCCTAATCCTACTCACTCTGATCCGGTGATGATGTATCCGAAGTGTCTGTCCTTCCCTCTGCTGGAGAACTCCTTCACCGCCACGTGGACCAGCTGAGTCTTCACCTTCACCTCCTTCATCTTCTGTGGTTCCTCCTCATGCTGCTGTTGTTGTTGTTGTTGTTGTGGTTTCTCCTGCAGGTGGAGAGCAGCAGGAAGTTGACCCAGCGTCGTTCGGCTCTGGACGTTTTCCTGTCCGACGGTTTTCCGGAGGGAAGCCGGCGCTCCGACGTTAACCTTTGGAAAAGATGGGAAGAAACACGTATTTTTATCCCCACAAAGAAGAAGCAAACACATCATCATCATCATCATCATCATCATCATCATCATCATCATCATCATCATCATCATCATCATCATCATCATCATCAAAGAAAACACAAGAAAGAAAGTCAGAAAAACACTAAGTATATTTACTCAAGTACTTTACTTAAGGACGAGATTTAAGGTGTGTTTGTTTTGTCATATCTACGGTAGAAGAGGGAGCTGCACGGTACGATGACATTCTTCAGCTCCACAGAACTGAACATTAAGGAACTATGCAAACAAACATATAAGATACGAACTAGCAGAGGAGGAACATTTCAGAATATGAGCTGACACACATTCAAATATTGTAAAAATAAATAAATATAAAAATAGCAAAAACAATGTTTAAAAAATGCATAAACATTTCAAAAAATAATTAAAAATAATTAAAATTGATAAGAAATTGTAAAATAAATTGCATAAAATTGTCCCAAAATGAAAGTGCATTATAAAACTAAATAAATAGATAAGATATAGAAGCAGAAGGGAAGAGTATTGGTGTATAAATATATGCATAATGATTGATCGATATAACAGCAGGATGTGTGGAAACAACATCGTGGCGGACAGAGTGAGCTTTGTGAAATGCCACGTGAATAAATATAATAATTTAAACTTTGCAAAATGAATACTTGTTATACCTGAGGAGCGTCGTTGAACGGCTCCATGTTGAGGTAGTCCAGCAGCTTGGAGAAGAACGCTGCGTGCTGTGGTAAACAAAAGGAGATTCAACAACAACAACAACACAGACTAACAGCACTTCTTGCAGCTTTCTGTGTATTTACAATGTTATGAATTGTCTTAATTAATTGCCTGTATGTAAAGCACCTTGAACTGTACTACTGTAACAACAATATAGGTTAACCTGTTATCGAGCTTCTACCACGTTACATTCTACACCACATGTGTCAAACTCGAGGCCCGGGGGCCAAATCAGGCCCGTAGTGGATTTAATTTCGGCCCGCAGGATAATTTCTAATTCCTATTAGATCTGGCCCGCCGGTATATTGCTCTCACACCTTCACTCCATCCTGAGGGTCTCCTCCGCTCAGAGCCTGAGCCCAAACATTGATGACCTTGCACCCAAGATGAGATGCCAAGTATCTGAGCTAGCATCACAGAGCAGCAACCTGAGTTTAATGGATGCTTCCTTCTGCACTTTCTCTCTCAGGACAACAGGGCATGTTTGGTTTTCTCTTTGAGGGGAATAGTTTTGTTGAAGCTGTTGTTGGCCTGTGGAGAAATGTACTCATAAGAAATAACTCTGGAAAAGCTGCAGATAGAGCCATGAGAAATGAATGCAGCTGATTATTTAATGTTTAATGTTGTTTTTATAGGCAATAATTTAAGCTTTGTTAGTTCCAGGTTTAATATGTGCAATAAGTTCATTTCAATAAGTTCTGTAATAAACATTGAACCAGTCCGGCCCTCCACTAGTACCCATTTTTTAACGTTGGCCCACTGTTTGAGTTTGACCCCCCTGCTTTAGACCCATTTGAAGGGGAAAATAGCAAGCATTCAATCATTGGTCCTAAAGAATATATAGCCATTAAAAGGATATTCTAGTACAGAAATCTGATTTATTTTGGTAAAGCATCAAACTAAACATGTTTTGGTACATGGGTCGTAGCAGGTTCTAGATAGATTTCAGGGCTAACGACATTTCCAGCCATTATATTTGCAGGTAATCCATTTCTTTTTACATCCTGGAGCAGAAAAGCTGATTTTCTCACCCTGGTTGAATTGATCGAGGTCTTATTGATGTATAACTATAAATTATTGGCGCTACCGCAGAGTTTCGGATATTAGATGGTTCAATTTCGGCTTGACGCTCGTGTCTTAGCTGACTAGTACCCATTTATTGATTTTTGACACCCCTGCTCTACATGATACACTTAATTAACTTAACTTTTATACCACATTGCATACTTTCTAAATTGTAAGCTGTATTTGTAATATTCTGTGCTTGCCCTTTATCTAAAAGTGTGTATTTTCTGCCCCTTTCTTTACTTTTGCTGTAAAATGTAGATCCCCTCCTCTGTGGGACTAATAAAGGAGTTCAGAGATGCATTAGGACACCATGCATTGCTTTTAAGACAGAGTTCATTAAGTGGTGAGGAATTATAATTAATGTTTCTATGTCTAAGTGCTGCTACAAGGTACAATCCTTCTTTCCTTCCAAATGATTAGAAACAATATAAATACATATATTCAATGCATTCTCAGTCGAATTAATATCTATTTTCATTCATAACACTTTAAAAGGAACATATTGGAGGTCGGTCAACTCAAGTGATGTTATGAGATGCTTTTAAACGTTGGCACAACTTTCTACTTCGACGTGGATAAAGTGTCTCTGAGAACCCAATTTAGTTTGCAGGGTATTTTTTAAATCACCTTGTCAACGGGCTCTTTGTCTGCGCCGGCTCTCTGTTGGCCTGGAAACAAAACACAGATTATGTGAGCAGATTGTGTGGAAACGTACGTGAGAAAAGAGTGGAAAGGAAGGACTCGAAAAAGACATTTGGCAGGAGTGAATGTGCATTTATAAACTCAGAGACTCTTGTATCTGTGGCACGAAAGCAACATTATTATTATCACCGCACTAAACCCTATTTAATTTTGAAACAAATATTGAGAATTGAGAGTATCTCTGGATTCATGCTATTTGTCCATAATGTGTATATAGGTTGATGCTACCTCAATCAAACGTTTCATTATCATAGTGACATCCCAGGTATTTCCAGCTTTCAAAATGTTTCGTTGTGGATGTTTGAGTTACCTATAGTACAAATAATATCACTTTCCAAATCTGTTTTTACGTTTTGTGGGAGATTTTGCGTCCAAAATGTTCATCTAGTGTAACTATCAGTGTATATACTGTAGGTGAGGTTGTCTTAAAACGATAGATACCAAACATTGACATGCTAAACATTTCTTAATGGGAGTAAGACAAATCAAAAGTATGCGAAAACGGCCAAATTAGCTCAGGACTCTAAAGGGTTAATGTGCATCATATTCTATTGACATGTATATAGACTTCTTGCACTATTTTGTATTTTAGTATTTTATTATATATGTTGCATTGTTAGAGGAGCTCAGGTCAGAAGAATTTCAGTTGCCATTTCTAAACTGCACAGCAGGAGTCGGCAACCTTTTTGATCTGAAGTGCCATTACAACAACAGAAATGTTATCAGCGTGCAGACGATCGTGAATTATCAACGGGGGGGGGGGGCGCCTCGCTGCGGGAAGCAGTGTGTGGACCTGTCAGCGCAACTTACATGATGCAGAATTTAACAAATGAGGTTAAATGGTTAACATAGGTTCAGGAGCAGGGCCACGCCCAAAACTCCGCCTCGAACCACGGCCACCCCTATTTATATCCGGCAAAACTTCCGGCCACTGCTCGTCTCCATCCTTTCAACCCACCCTCCCTCTCCCTTCTACAGTTCCCCTTCCGACTCACACCGAGCATGATGCCGAATTTAACAAACACATTTAAATAATTGGTTTAAACGGCATAATAATAAGGACGATCGTCCGTTCTGTGATTCTCCAGAACACAGATGGCCAGCCCGCCCCTGTAGCATGTTATTTAGATGAGAGATGAGCTGATCGCCACTGGGCTTTCAACTAGACACGCAAAAACTGTGGCATGTGTACAGCTCCTTATGGGTACTGCAATTTGTGAAGTGCTTTCCTCCGTGGGGAAGCGATCAGCACCACGGAGGAAAGCGGCAGAAAGTCGCCTGGAGTTAAAGAGAGCGGGGCTGCGTTGCGTGCATGGCTTCCTTCTGCAGGGACCGGGGAGACGCGCTCTGGCGGCGGTCTCGTTCAGGATCCGAAAATAACATTGTAATATTGTGCCCACTTATTCCTAGTGTGCCACTGGTTACGGTGCCGCGTGCCAGGGGTTGCCGACCCCTGCTGCACAACATGTAATGCTGCTCCGAAAACAAGTTAAACAATAATGAAATCAAGCTGTTTTCACTTGAAATCAGTACAAAATACTGCCAATAGAACAAGTGAACATTAGCTTGGTGAGCCTTCTTGAAATAAGAAGGGATATCTAGATCAATCAGATCTTGTAATTAGCAGGAAAACTCATTTGAACTATATTTTAGGATATGTTGCGTTACAATATAAGCCTCAAAAGTTGTCAGTTTTCTGATTCGTTGGTGATTTCCTAATAAATATGCGTTTCATCTGAGAAACAACTCAAAATGAGATGTTTTGACTGAACAAGATGATGCATGTCTAAAAACCTGATATCTCACTTCTGAAGTTAGTGTGTCTTATATCAGGAGGAGAGACACATTCTATAGATGTTAGACTCAGACTCTTTGAATGACTCACCTGGCTCTTTGGGTCTCGCTGTGTCTTCCTTTTTTAGATGTTCTTGTTTCCTGTCCTGGTTTTCTTTCAGCAGTGCCACCATGGGTCTGGACTCAGCAGGTTTTGATCCAGCATTTGATCCAGTTTCAGGACCAGGACGCCCCTCTTTCTCCTGGTTCAGAGCTCCAGCTATAACCCCCGCCAAATGGTCCAGATCTTTCCCCATCAGAGACTCAAAGTGAACACTGTGCCGCCCCAGCTGGTTCACCATGTTCTGGATGAATCGCTCTGGAAGGTGTAAATCACAATATAATAATACACTTTATTTATAGCACCTTTCATGCTTGACGCAGCCCAAAGTGCTGAACATAGTATGACAAAGAAATTACGGTAAAAGCTTACATTACATCTAGGGATGCACGATAATTATCGGTCCGATATTAGGAATTATGACGTCATCCCGATAAACCCGATACCAGTATTAATAGCCCCGATAATATACAATATATTGTTTGGGTAAAAAAAAAAAAAAAGATACTGCGGTGTGGATTGGGATGAGGGGCGCTTGTTTTTCACTCGGCTCCTCCCGTTTTGCCAGTACTGTGGTATTAGTGGTTTAGGAAGAGGGGAGTTTTTCACAAATCCAGTGCTCCCTAACTCGTGCCTGGCTGTGACGTAAATGGTGTGCGGCCGTGAAGCCAGGACAGTAAACAAAGATGTCGTCGGTGGTATGGGCGTTGGAGCTATGTGCAACTCAAGGCATATGCTCGAACCGGAGCTGCCTGGACGCTGCAATCATGTTGCGCACCGTGCTGAGTGTGCTGACTTTTCGTACAATGTCCCACTGTCTGGCTTCCTGCATAAAGTCAAGTGCTCGGCGCAGTTGTGGCGAAATGTCGCTCCTCTGTTTTCATTTAAACAGCTCCTTATATCCGTTAGCGCAGCTAGCTAGCACCAGATGCTAACAACAACAATGCACGTAAGGTCTCTCTCTCGCTCTCTCGGGCCACACACACACACACCCTCCCGGTCCTCCAGATGGCCAGTCGGTGCCTGCCGGTGAGCGTGGAAGTGTGGTCTGCCACAAGCGGGCAGCAGGAGCGGGGCTGTCAGCATCAGCTTGTAGACGGTATTTTAAACTCGATGCGCTCTGAAACTACGGGGCGGCCGAGGACAAAAAATACACATGCGTTAATCGCGTTAAAATAATTAGTGGCGTAAAAAAAAAATGGTGTTATCGGTATCGGTCTTGAGAAGCAGGAAGGTATCGGTTTCAAAAAACCAATATCGTGCATCCCTAATTACATCACATGTCACTTGTTAAGACGCTTTTATCCAAAGCAGAAGTTTATTGAGTACTTCTGCTTTCACCAGAGTATGTTTAAACACGAGTACTTCTACCTGAGTAAAGGATGTGTGTTCTTCTCTGTATTGAACGTCAGAGTGTGTGAAGCAGATCTTACCGTCGACGGCGCTGAGAGGCTCTTTGGCAGCCGGTGGATTAGAGCTGGCTTTGAACAGAAGTCTGTCTAGATTCGGCCTTTGGGATTTGGAGGTAAAAGCCACCTGAGATTCTGCTTGGTTGCTCGAAGCTGGACGGATGTAGTTGATGTAGTGGAGCTTTTCGTTCCCTTGCTGAGTGCTCGGTACCGCAGACAGCAGCCGCTCCAGATGACTCGCTAACAGTTTGTTCCTCCCTTGGTCCCGGTTAGCGTAAGATGGACTGAGCTTCGGGTGTTTTCCCTCCCCAGTGTGGGTGAAAACGTTGGTGATTGGAGGTTGTCCGGCTTCTTTCTGGTGGCTGAAGACAGTCGTTTCCTTCCAGCTGTGCTTCGGTTTGGAGCGGCTGGGCTCCAGGTCTCCTTCAGACTTCACATCTTCATTCTGCAACACAAAAATGCAAGTTATAGCACATTCATCGCTAAACCTCTGCTAGCCATGCTGCATTGGCATTCAAGATTCAATGCTTTCATTGTCATGTGTACATAGCTACAGTGTAGATATGTCAATGAAAATCTGAGGTCACAGACTTTTAGCCTTCCTAGCGCCGCGACTCTTGGCATGGCTGCTAGTCCACCACTTTAGTCAAGACTGAAATATCAATTTGGAATTGCGTCCCTTTTAAAAAAGGCATGTCTAACATCAATGACACCCAGACGATGATCGTAATGGAATCTCCTTATTTGTCCTCTAGCGCAGTGTTTTTCAAAGTGGCGGCCCCGACCCCCCGGGGGGCCGCCAGGGGGCACGCAAAGTTTGAGGGAAAGGGGATTTTTTTTTAAGTTACATTTTTATTTATTCTTTTAGATGTTATTAATAACTGCATATCTATCACTCTGTGTCCTTTGATGCCAATCTTTTAATATTTTGTATTTATTAATATTTTATTTTATGTTTTTGTTTTTAAATCACACGCCCTTCAAGCCAATCAGAATCGAGCTGCCTTCTGAGAGTGAAACTGAGCATCTGCTCAGCTTTTGGAGCAAGTGAGAGCGAGTGAATGTTTCGCTCTGCAGCCGGATGAGAGCACGGATGTAGCAAATATTGATGTTTATATATATGAATATAAATATGTTTATTGTTAATATTAGTGTTGAATATTATATATAATATTATTAAGGCATAAGTAGCTTTAAAAAATGCAAAAAATATATGTTGATTGTTCATATTACTGTTCAAGATTATATAATATTATAAAGACAGAAATCCCTTTTAAAATGCTTTTAAAATATGTTTACTGTTGATATTACGGTTTAATATTGTGTTAAGAATGTTTATAACAGAAGACACAAGGTTTTCACAACAACAAAAGTATTTAGAGTGCTTATTAGCATATTTGAGCATGCTAACCAGCTAAGCTAAGAGGGGGAACTCATTGCATTGTCCTTGTAAAGGCATTAGCATGCTCAAGTTAGCATTTCACTTTGCTATCCCTCAGAAGAGCATCAGAAAGCTGCTAGCATTAGCAACACCCGTTTCATTCATTTCTGTAAATCTTAAAACACATTTCTTTGATGGATTTCCAACCTAGTTTCAGATTTCTCTCATTTCCACCTCAGACGAGGTCAGCGTTGTTGTGACAGGCTTTAGTTTGAAAAGAGAAACAAGCCCGGGCTTTATAGACACCACAGGATATGAATAGTGGATTCTAGATCAAAGACAACTGCCCTTGACAATTGCATTATGGAAATCAGAGATGAGATAGTGTCACTCAAAAGAGTAATCTCATGCATTTCAACAACAAACTTTTAAAAGCATATCCTTTGCTGCTGTCAGAGAAGTAGCAGACCCTAACCCTGTCAGAGAAGAAGCAGACCCTAACCCTATCTCGAAAGATAGAAGCTACGATATCAGATTTAGTCGTTTCACCATTTGTATTTCTACATTAAAACTGGCACCAAAATGTGTGATTCTGTCCTCTCTTCTCGTCTGAATCATCTCCAGGTTTATTATCTGCACTAACACTAGCTATCTCCCCCGGTGCTATTTTCTGTCCTTCAAATGCATACAGAGAAAATGTCAGGCATACTGAGGGGCCAGAATAGCATTAGCACAGCGAGACGGGGGTGCGCCGCCATTCATGCTAACCATGTTTGCCTTTTTCCATCACGCTGCTCAACAAAGGCGCTCCACTCATCAATAAAGAAGGTCCTGAACTCTTCAACTCTGCATTATGGCTGCTCTGACACATCAGCAGGAAGCACAGAGCCTCACAGAAAACCCTACGTATGAGGACTGAATAATGTAAAGAGGTGATGGAGAGCTTTGTGTGAAAGGGTCTCTGCTCCGTGGGAGAGAGAGAGCGAGAAACAAAAGCAGTGAGAGGTGGAAGACATACTGACTCTCTTTCAAAGGGAAGAGGCCTTTGTGTTACTTAGGCGAGGAAAACATTGTTTGCTAGCTTTGACCTGAGCGCTACATCTCTGGAGATTACGTGAAGTTTTTTTAATTGTCACTTCTGTAATTTAATATGTTTAGATTACGTTTTTAAAATCACTGGATGTTATGCTTTCAAAAATAACGATAGGTGTTGTTTCTTATCGTTTCAACTCGCTTCCCATCGCATGGTGTCGTTTCCAATCGTGACGTTTTGAATCTTTTCCTATTGAATTGTTGTTTCGTTCCATTTCCTTTAGTTTTGCCTCGTAACGTATCATTTTGTATTGTTTCTGTTTCACACATCATATCGCTTTGTATCATATCGCTTACCCTAAATGTTTGAGCACCCTCTATGACAGTGGTTCCCAACCTGGGGGGCGCCAAAGATCGCAGGGGGGGCGCCAGGCCTCAGATGATTTGAGGCCAAATATCATATTTAGATTTTTTTTTTTTTACATATAATTGTAACGCAATACATGATTGTCACTAAAAGCCTTGTCTCTACATTACAATAACATATACAAAATAATTGACTAATTAATTTGAATACAAATTCAAGTTAGTATTAAAGGCATAAAAAGACAGAAATGTATAATTCTTTCTTTAATATAAATGTTTCTTCTGCCGTGAAGTGTCCAAACCGAGCTTGTCTGGATAAGCGCATGTTTAAAACACAGTCATTGTCCATGCCGGTTTCAGTTGGATTATTTGTCAGTTGCTCCGATCAGATCGGTCTCCTCCATTTAGATTATTTACGACTTTTGAATCCACAGAAACACATCGGCAAAATCCAGCTTCCTTTGAGCATGTGTTCTAAACAGTTTAATCCCTTTGTGAATTGTTTCCACTTCCGCCGTCCTTTAATTTCTTCACACAGCAGGAATCCAAATGAATGAATCCTGAGTCCAATAACCATCAAAGTCACTCTATAGTGCTCCTTGATTACGCTTTCATCCTCCTTTAACAACATACTTCACATTCATCCAGTTTGTGACAGTAGTTGTTGCATTTTTGAGACTTTGAAACTTTAATTACCGCTGTTGCCCCCCCCCCCCCTTGTGTGTGTGTGTGGGGGGGGGAGCAACTTCCAACAGGAGTCATTTGGGGGGGCTCTTGGGAAAAAAGGTTGGGAACCCCTGCTCTATGAGACGTCAAGCTACCCCACAGCACCCCCAAAATAAATCTCTGGCGCCGCCACTGAGCCTGACTATTTGTGTTGGGGGGGGCCCGACTTTTTTTTTCTCCAAAGGGGCTGACAGAAAAAGTTTGAGAACCACTGCACTAGTCACATCTATCCAATCCCCAGCACTGCCACCAGGTACACAGTGAGTGTTACCTGAGTGTGTGTTACATGAGTGTGTGTTACCTACTGAGTGAGTGTTACCTGAGTGAGTGTTACCTGAGTGAGTGTTACCTGAGTGAGTGTTACCTGAGTGAGTGTTACCTGAGTGTGTGTTACCTGAGTGTGTGTTACCTGAGTGTGTGTTACCTGAGTGTGTGAGTGTTACCTGAGTGAGTGTTACCTGAGTGAGTGTTACCTGAGTGTGTGTTACCTGAGTGAGTGTTACCTGAGTGTGTGAGTGTTACCTGAGTGTGTGAGTGTTACCTGAGTGTGTGTTACCTGAGTGAGTGTTACCTGAGTGAGTGTTACCTGAGTGTGTGTTACCTGAGTGAGTGTTACCTGAGTGTGTGTTACCTGAGTGAGTGTTACCTGAGTGTGTGTTACCTGAGTGTGTGTTACCTACTGAGTGAGTGTTACCTGAGTGTGTGAGTGTTACCTGAGTGTGTGTTACCTGAGTGTGTGTTACCTGAGTGTGTGAGTGTTACCTGAGTGTGTGTTACCTGAGTGTGTGTTACCTACTGAGTGAGTGTTACCTGAGTGTGTGAGTGTTACCTGAGTGTGTGAGTGTTACCTGAGTGTGTGTTACCTGAGTGTGTGTTACCTGAGTGTGTGTTACCTGAGTGTGTGTTACCTGAGTGTGTGAGTGTTACCTGAGTGTGTGTTACCTGAGAGTGTGTTACCTGCTGAGTGTGTGTTACCTGAGTGTGAGTGTTACCTGAGTGAGTGTTACCTGAGTGAGTGTTACCTGAGTGTGTGTTACCTGAGTGAGTGTTACCTGAGTGTGTGTTACCTGAGTGAGTGTTACCTGAGTGTGTGTTACCTGAGTGAGTGTTACCTGAATGACTGAGTGTGTGTTACCTGAGTGAGTGTTACCTGAGTGAGTGTTACCTGAGTGAGTGTTACCTGAGTGAGTGTTACCTGAGTGAGTGTTACCTGAGTGAGTGTTACCTGAGTGAGTGTTACCTGAGTGAGTGTTACCTGAGTGAGTGTTACCTGAGTGACTGAGTGAGTGTTACCTGAGTGAGTGTTACCTGAGTGAGTGTTACCTGAGTGAGTGTTACCTGAGTGAGTGTTACCTGAGTGAGTGTTACCTGAGTGAGTGTTACCTGAGTGTGTGTTACCTGAGAGTGTGTTACCTGCTGAGTGTGTGTTACCTGAGTGAGTGTTACCTGAGTGAGTGTTACCTGAGTGAGTGTTACCTGAGTGAGTGTTACCTGAGTGAGTGTTACCTGAGTGAGTGTTACCTGAGTGTGTGTTACCTGAACGTTGGCTCGTTGACTTCCTGTCTGTCCCTCAGGCAGGAAACCCAGTCCGCTCAGATACTGCTTCATGCTTCTGCTCAGCTTCAGGTCTCTGGACCCACTGAAGGCGTTCAGAGGACTCTGAGCTGAGGTCTGATGGCGAAGAGGAACCGTTCTCAGTTTGGAAAGCTCTCGAGAAATCACCTGCTGGGTGAGGTCGTCCTGCCATGTCAGACCTGGACACACACAAAGGGGTTTTAGATGCTTTGTTAAGGAGTGAGCTGCAGCTTCTCTGATGTTCAGAGTCAGTGATCCATTGATTGTGTCATTTTTTGTTTCAAGACATATAAGCAGTACAATGACTACTGTTAGAAATTAAAATCAATGTTGGTATGGCGTAATTTGAATTAAATACACTATTTAATTTAAATCAGTTTTATTCTGAAAAACCTGAAGTTCACTAACTATTAACTTAATACTTTTATTCTGAAAATTCTTCACTTCCGGTTAGCATTAGCATGTGGCGAAATGCTACGTTTTCAAACCGTGAATCGAAGGTGAAATGACATGTGATGTTGTACACTGAGCACACTGGGATTAGCACTCATTTATTGCCGCTGAATAACGTTTATTAGGGAATGTTCAAATAACCACAGACACCAGAATGATGTGTCTGTGGTTGAATTGGAAATGGGGGACCCTGATGTAAACAAGACGAAAGTCTTTCTCTGGTCTGCATCCCCTTAACAATTGTATGTTTTGAGCTGTACTGTACTGTACCCAATATACAAGCTGTTAATAAACTTTTCAATCAATCAATCAATCAATCAATCAATGTAATTTAGCAACAGAAAAAGGCAGGAATTGCATTGGACCCGCCCCCCGACCAATAGGAGAAGACCTCAGATGACAACAGGAAGAGCAAGCCAAGGATTGACCTCTTCTACCTGCTGACCTGGGCTGACCGGTCGGATGAGGAGAGCGCCTCCACTCGCACATTTCATTTTGTACACCCCCGCATCTTTTGTGTAATTAAATGCTGTTAACTTTTATAAGCTTCCCTTGACTCTTTTCAGTCTCTCCTGCCTTCAGGGTTCTAGAATACACTAACACTACTTATTTTTAGCCTCATGCTGAAGGATCAGTAGTAAAAGTACTCATTATTATCAGTGTTAAGGTACCTCAGACTGATTCTGATCCAACTAGCAGTATTTTCTTTGGTCGAGTTGACGTAAAAAATACATTCCTAAATTAGGAAGGAAGAGTCTTCTGGGTATTTGTTTATAGAGAAATCAATTGGATAGATATTCGGCTAGTAGGAAACACATTCTGTACACAATATACTCATATCTCTTTAAAATACTGCATGCTCTAACAGAGTAATGTCAATGCAAATGTTAAATGAATCTTTCCTCAATACAAAAATATTTATAATTCAGTATTGACTATCAACAGCTGTCTGTCGGTAAGAAGAATATATAGTATAGTCAAAAAAAGGTTTTCTCTATGTTGGAAATATTGTTAGAAACTGCATTTAAAGACACACTTTAAGAAAGCCAAGACATGTACACACACACGTACACACATACATGTACACACACACATGTACTCACACACATGTACTTACACACACACACATGTACTTACACACACACACATGTACACACATACATACCATGTATACATCACTTCAGGGGACATTACATTGACTTACATGCATTCCCTGGAGACTTATCCTAACCTTAACCAACACATGCCTAACCCTAAACCTTACCAAGTCTTCACCCTAGAATTAATGATCCCCCTCATGGGGACCTCCATTTTGTCCCCATAAGGGAGGCGAGTCCCCACACGTGACTGTGTAAACAGATTTAGGTCCCCACTGGTATAGTAATGCTAGGCCACACACACACACACACACACACACACACACACACACACACACACACACACACCACACACACACACACACACACACACACACATCACACACACACACACACACCACACACACACACACACACACACACACACACACACACACACACACACACACAACACACCACACACACACACACACACACACACACACACACACACACACACACACACACACACACACACACACACACACACACACACACACACCACACACACACACACACACACACACACACACACACACACACACACACACACACACACAGTCAACAAGCCCAGGGAGAGTCACACACATGCCTTGCCAACATGTCTGCTAATTGCCAGTATCTGGGCTGCAGAACTGCTGGAAACCGCTGCAGGACCAGATGGAGCTACCCGAGCAAAAGAAATGAAATAAAAACAGATCCCAAAACATGGCCACATTCCCGGGGAGCCGAGAGCCAACAGACAGCATTCCATAGAAATATAGAAATACCACGGATATCACGCTGATGACTCCATCTCTGTGCAGAAGCATGCTTTAATGAGACATGTAGACTACTAGCTCTACGGAAACAATGCTGCTCTTCACCTTCAGTAAAGAGAACTTCCACACCACCACTACGTGCAAATAAATAACATCATTACACAAAATAGTTATTATTAATAATGTTCTATAATAACGTGCAATTACGTATCTGCCACTCGGTTTTACTACTAAATACTGTTAATATTTACATGAATTATGTGACCGTCTGTGTTTCCGTAGTTATTTAACTGCTCTTTTTACTGCACTGTTAACGTTATATTATCATGCTGCTGTGTTTGTTCAACCCAGTCTCCCGGCATTTCGTGTTATAGTTACGAAATTGCCGTGAGACTGGGTTGGTTTATTGTATTTTTGTAACTAAGTCCTATCTTATCTTATCTTAATGATGTGGACACGTTCAACAGCAATGCATGAACACAAAGCTGCAGAATGTCTTCATTAGCCGGCTTTCTCACACAGAGTTTTTGGGGTTTATTCTCATAGATATTCATAAGAGGATCTGAATGCCTCCGGTCGTTTCTTGGCAGCGCTGATCAGCGTATGTTTCCATCCATTCGAGGAACAATGACACTTAACTACCCATGGTTTAACAGATGTGCTGTTATATATCAGTGATAACCATCCCACTTCGTTACTGTACTTCAGTACATTCTTCTGGTATCAGTACTTTACTCCACAACGACTTTTAACTTTGACTTCTTACATTTTGAACCCAAATACCTGTACTTTCTACTTCTTACATGTTGAACACAAATACCTGTACTTTCTACTTCTTACATGTTGAACACAAATACCTGTACTTTCTACTTCTTACATGTTGAACTCAAATACCTGTACTTTCTACTTCTTACATGTTGAACACAAATACCTGTACTTTCTACTTCTTACATGTTGAACACAAATACCTGTACTTTCTACTTCTCACATGTTGAACACAAATACCTGTACTTTCTACTTCTTACATTACATTACATTACATTGCATTTAGCTGACGCTTTTGTCCAAAGCGACTTACAATAAGTACATTCGACCAGGAAGACACAACCTTGAAGAAAACAGAATCATATAAGTACATCAGGTTTCATAGAGCCAAACATTTCAAGTGCTACTCAACTGGCTTTAGATAAGCCAGTCCTTTATTAGTATATAAGTGCTTCGTTAATCGTTCTAACGCTCGAAGTGGAGTCGAAAGAGATGAGTTTTCAGTTTGCGCCGGAAGATGTGCAAGCTATCTGCCGTCCTGATGTCAATGGGGAGCTCATTCCACCATCTTGGAGCCAGGATAGCAAACCCACGTGTTTTCGCCGATGGGAACTTGGGGTCCCCCTCGCAGCGAGGGCGCAACGAGTCGTTTGGCTGATGCAGAGCGTAGTGCACGCGCTGGGGTGTACGGTTTAACCATGTCCTGGATGTAGGAAGGGCCAGATCCATTCACAGCATGGTAAGCAAGTACCAGTGTCTTGAAGTGGATTCTAGCAGTTACCGGAAGCCAGTGAAGGGAGCGGAGGAGCGGAGTGGTGTGGGAGAATTTAGGAAGGTTGAAGACCAGACGAGCCGCTGCATTCTGGGTGAGCTGCAGAGGTCGGATGGCACATGCAGGTAGACCAGCCAGGAGGGAGTTTGCAGTAGTCTAGGCGTGAGATGACGAGAGCCTGGACCAGAACCTGAGTCGCTTTCTGAGTCAGCTGGGGACGTATCTTCCTGATGTTGTAAAGCGTGTATCTGCAGCAGCGGGTTGTAGCAGCGATGTTTGCAGTGAAGGACAGGTTGTTATCTAGGGTCACACCCAGATTCCTTGCAGTCTGAGTCGGGGAAACAACTGAGGTGCCGATGTTGATTGTCAGGTCAAGAGTTGGACAATCTTTTCCCGGGAGGAAGAGCAGCTCAGTCTTGTCAAGGTTGAGCTTGAGGTGGTGAGCAGACATCCACTGAGAGATGTCAGCTAGACAAGCAGAGATGCGTGCGACGACCTGGGTCTCTGAGCGGGGAAAGGACAGAATTAATTGGGTGTCGTCAGCGTAGCAGTGGTAAGAAAAACCATGCGGGCTAATGACTGATCCGAGCGAGTTTGTGTACAAGGAGAAGAGGAGGGGACCAAGAACAGAGCCCTGAGGGACCCCCGTAGTTAATTGACAAGGGTCGGACTCAGACCCTCTCCAAGTCACCCTGTAGGTGCGGTCTTTCAGGTATGAGGTGAGGAGGGAAAGTGCAGAGCCTGAAACTCCAAGTTTTTGGAGAGTGCGAAGGAGGATCTGATGATTCACCGTGTCGAATGCAGCAGACAGGTCCAACAGGATGATGACAGAGGAGAGGGATGCAGTTTGGCAGTGTGCAGTTCCTCCGTGACAGCAATGAGAAGCAGTTTCTGTGGAGTGACCTGCCTTGAAACCAGACTGGTGCGGATCCAGAAGGTTGTTCTGATTGAGATAACAGGAGAGTTGTTTAAAGACAGCGCGTTCAAGTGATTTAGGACAGGAACGGGAGGAGAGAGACAGGCCTGTAGTTTATAACATCAGATGGGTTGAGAGTGGGTTTCTTTAGGAGAGGGTTTACTCTTGCCTCCTTGAGACTGTTTGGAAAGTGACCAGAAGTTAGAGAAGTGTTGATGAAATGGGTGAGAAACGGTAGAATATCAGGAGCGATAGTCTGAAGGAGGTTTGAAGGGATAGGGTCCAGAGGAAAAGTGGTAGGGCGGGCAGAGGTAATGAGGGTAAGAACCTCACTCTTACATGTTGAACTCAAATACCTGTACTTTCTACTTCTTAC